CAGGAAATATAACATATGGCCCTTATGCCGAGACCTGTGCAGAAAAGACAATACTATTATTTCAAAGGCCGTCATGCCTCAACAGAAGGTGCAGTACAGCCTCTGTACACAGCACAGAAAAGGCTGACGGTGCGCCGTCTGGCCACCACGCTATTGTGGCCACCAAGTGCAGCCTGTCACCAGTCGCTAGCTCGGAGTCGCTGTCAGCGGCTACAAGATGAGCCAAAAGGCGCCTGGCATCTGTATGCACCCTGTCAGAAACACGTCGAGCCAATAGCCCGCCCGGCGCCTGCACACACTACGCTAGCAGTCCCACGCCGAACCAGCAGCCGCAAGTCATCTACACCCGCCCCACAAGCAGACCCACTCTAGGCTTAAAGTGTCACACCACGTTTATGACAAGACACTAAGGTTTAGCCGTGTAGCCCTCTTCAAAGAACCAGGGCACTCCGGGAAGAGTGCGAAGCCTGGATAATTGGCAGTGTCATTAAATAAGCTTGTTACCCGTTGCCAACGGAACAGATGGTGTTACGCCAGTCTAAACGCATCACGTCTGTGAACGTTTTCTGCTGCGATCAATGCATCACGGCAACCGGTGGTGGTGCAGGCTTCCAAAGAGTGTGTGGACTATCATCCTGAAGCAGCATGCAGTTAGGATATTTTGATCACCACCGTCATAAAACACAACATTAACTCATTGTTTTTACGTTATATAAGTGGACAGTAATATTGGGAACATCACGCCTGGTATACACGCCTGATGTAGATATCAGGCGTGGATACCACCGAATACTTTGTCCTTAGTTATCCCTGAAATACCATCTTGTAAAACGTTTTCTTTGCGTTGTCGTTCTCCCTTGTACATAGGTACGTCAAACATTGCATGGTCATTGATATAGGCGAAAGTCTGCTTAGTGCTGAGCAGACGTTACGAAACCGCGTTAAGTTGTTCTGACGGCACGGCGAAACGGGCGGGTGCAGCGCAACGGATTCGTTCTACGTTGATGGGAACAGGATATGGAAGCCAATTGGATGATTTATTTTGAGTCAACACCAATGACTAATGCTAGATTTCGAGAAAGCTGTGAGTTTCGGCCCTTGCCCCCATCCCGTGCTCAATTGCTCAGAGACGTGACAATGGTAAAACGAAAACGCGTGAAAAATTTGCATAGCGTCAACTATTTTTGAGACCACCAGGCACTGACCGCGTAATTCCTAATACCTGTTTTATCTTCAAATATTCTTGCCATGCCTAGTATCCCCCCCCCCCGTCCTATGAACAATTGGTTGCGGCGCCTCTGCTTAGAAGTATGTATCAATATAAATGGCACCAGCTTTACTCACTCCTATTTTGTTGTAGTCATAGCCATGTTTAAGAGGGTTTTGATGTAAAAAGACTGCAGTTTTGCAGTCATGTACACTAGTATAACATCTCAAGTTTTTCTCCACCTCAAGTTTGTCTGCATGAGATCGTCACACTTGGTGGTGGAGGAATGCCTCTGTGCTATAGGGTCCGAACCATTCGATCTCCCAGTTGTAAACACAGTTTCTCTTGTCTTTCTACGAATGTTTCCATTTACAGCCATCGTAAGAGTCGCTTATAGCTTTTGTCATGGTCGGCAATGATTCTGATGCACTCTCCCAACTAGTCAGTGTTTAAAATTCAGATAGACGAAACTGCGTCCTTCAGTAAATCATCCGTAATGCGCTAGACCGCGTGATACAAATTTTTCGCACGTGATATATTGGTGATGATGACATGCTGTCAGTCCTTCCCCATTGGTCAGTACACCCATTAGCCGTCGCCGGTTACCAACCATTGCAAAGCCCTTCGTCTGTGCTAGATTTGTGACACCGTCATAAGCAATACAGCGGCTTCGGGACTCTCTGAGCGTCTCCACCATTCCCGATCTAGCTTGCCAAAATCCAATAAAATTCTGAGTGTTGATCATAATGGATGTCCTAAGCATTCTAGGCAATATTCCGTTTTGATGGTACATGAAGTAATGGCTCTTGACGAATTTCCGGCAAGGATATAACGCATATAAATAATTCTTTGCTTTTCCAGCTTCTGGTCCTCGCCGCCTTTGTGGCTGTCGCCTCTGCGGGGTACCGTAGGTACTCAAGCGGTTACGGTGGGTACGGCGGTGGATACGGCGGCTACGGAGGCGGTTACGGTGGTTACGGCGGAGGATATGGTGGCTACGGCGGTGGATACGGTGGGTACGGCGCTGGATACGGTGGCGGCTATGATAGTTACCGCCGCAGCTTCGGCGGGTACGGACGCGGCTACGGTGGTTACAGCCGCGACTACGGCCATTAAAGACGTTCTCTGGGTGACTACGGCAGATCATATTAGTGACGCAGCGAGGCATGCGGATATGCACCCATGACCTTACGATCCAGCTATAGCTCCAGTAGCAAGGGACACAATGAGCATGACTCCAGTCAGGTTTACTCGCATGACGGAATGGAGGCTTCTGCATGATGTGTTCGTTTCTTTGTCCGTTGGTGGTGGAAGAAAATAAGTTATTCCTGTATATCGTTGTTCAACAACACTCATTTTGTGCATTGTGAAGCGGCTGGAATGTAATAAGATACTTTTTAATATTTTGGAATGCGCCAATAGACTTAGCCCAATAATGTCCTGGTTTGAAACCCGGGAAGCCTTGTCCCATTTAGCGTGTTACGGAGGACTTCTTCCGCAAATACCGACGAACTTGCTGTTTCAGCAGAGAGAAATCTTGAAAGACAAAAATGAGTTTAAGATCCATCACGCTAAGTCCCATATCACGCTGGTGGTATGAAAACGAGCCCGAGATAATGGCTTGACAGTTTCTACACTACCAAAGTTCTGCAGCCACAATCTGTAGTTTACTCACATGGGGTCTTGCCGTCAGGGAAAAAAGCCTGTCATGTTGTTTGAAAACTGGGTGGCTCCCAATCCTGGCAAGAACTGTACACTATGACGTTGCATATTTTGGGGGGCAAACGTACAACGGACAGGACGCGATTTGAAAGACAGCAACTGCGTCCATGTACCGCAACATATTGTCCCTACGCTGCAACCTGTGGAGGAAGGACATGGTCTTTTATAGGCTATTCCGCAACAAAACGTGCAGGAGAACACTGAGCAGCACACAAAACAGGGTGCCGACACCCCGTCTGGCCACTATGTGCAGCCTCCCACCAGTCGCCTGCTAGGAGTCGTTGTCGGCGGCTACGAGAAGGGCCAATGGGCGCCCTTCATCTGCATGCACCTTGTCAGAGCGCACCGAACCAACAGCCACCCGGCACCTGCACGCACGACGCTAGCAGGTCCACACCGAACCGGCAGTCGCAAGTCATCTGCACGCGTCCCACCAGTAGCACGACGCTGGGCTAAGGTACCACGCCATTCATAACAAGACGACAGTATGTGCATGACCATGTGGCTCTAGTTGATGGGCCAGATCACTCCGAGAAGGGCGCGAGGCCGGGATGATTAGTAGTGTTATGAGATGAGCTTGTTCCCCGTTGCGAACCGAACAGGTTGCGTGATGCGAGTCGAAGCGCATCATGTTCCGAACGTTTGGCTGAGCTCAAGGCATCACCATATCCTGTTGTGTGCAACCTCCAAGGAGTATGTTAACTACGATGCTCGGGCAGCATGCAGTTAGGATATTTGTATCAACACTGTCACATATTTCACGTTAACTCATTGTTAGGATGTTTTGATCACCACCGTCACATATTACCATGTTAAGTCATTGCTAGGATGTTTTGATCAATTTTGTCACATATTGCGACGTTAATTCATGTTTATATTTCCCTAAGTGAACGATAATTTTGGAAATCAGGCGTGCATACCAAATAGCACTCCGTCCGTAAATATGTCTGAAATATTCCACTGTAAAACTTTTCCATGGGATATAGGCACGTCTAAATATTTTGTATCCTTGATGTGGGCAATAGCTTAAAGAGGATATGATCGCCAAATGGATGGTTTCTTTTGAGCCAACACCAATTTTAATGCTAGATTTTCAGAAAGTTGTCTGCCTTATCATCATCATCATCATTATCATCTACCACTCATGTATGCCAACAGTTTTCTTGGACTTGTCTTGAGTTAAGATAATGTTTGCCGATGAATGGAATCGACAGCATATTTCGTTCTGGAGTTCCGGTTGCCAACGATTCCAGAATCCTTCGTTTGCGTTGGTAATTTTGACATCTCGTCAACTGTTGCCTGTCCGTCAATATACCTATTTCCCATCGCCAGGTACCAACCATTACAGAGCCCCTCGTCGGCGTTAGATTTGTGACACCGTCAAAGGTATCCAAACTGTTTCAGGACTCTCTGAGCGTCTCCGCAGTGCCCAACCTATCTTGCCAAAATCCAATAATATTATGAGTTTTGATCGTGTTGAATGTCCTAAGCATTCTAGGCCAAATTCCGTTTTGGTGTTATATGAAATATGTGTGGAGGTGCCTGACCCTCGCGAAGTTCTTCGCGGATCTCTCGCACTCCACGGACTGTGATA